GTGTAAACGTGTACGTGTGACGTTCGGCGCCGCTTTCCCGTAAGCCTAAAAGTTTGACGATGGTGTTTGGAATGTCGAGCGTGATTCCACCGACTATCCAAACATCATTGTCAAACTTTTAGGCTTACGGGAAAGCGGCGCCGAACGTCACACGTACACGTTTAGACGTTTAAAACATGTGCCTCAACCTCTCTACCATATCTAAATATACTCATAAAAAAATTTTATTAATTATTAAGATATAGATCTATTATCTAATGATGAATTTATGAATCATTATTTATAAATACTAATATGTTTTGTTTTAAAGCTCAATTTTATTTTTGCATATCCTTTCCTTATATTCATTAATTCTTTAATTATTGGAATTTAATTAAATTGGAAAAGACTACTTAGTTAATCACATTAATATTATAAAATTGATTAACTAAGTAGCCATTCACATCTCAATTTTAAAAAACATGCTTCTAATTGAAATAATTTACATCACCTCAAATTCTTTAAGAAAATAACTGACTTCTCCCTGCACAAAAGGTCTGTGATCAAATAGACGAGAATGTATTTCTCCAATATCTACAAAAATACAAAATTCTCATTAAAAATTTTCAAATATAAACATAATCATTAAAAATTTACCATTTTACATTTATTTAACGCAAGAACAAACTTTCTGTATTATAATATATTCATATAGGTACAATTACACCTCTGAACGAGATGGTCGGAACATTATCAGAGCCAAAGACCACACCCACAGAAGCAAAAAAAGTCAAAGGAACCATACCTCTGCACGATACAGCCCTCAAAATCGGCCCACTTCCACGTCACTCCACCAAGACTATTGCATTTAACCATTTAGCCCATGCTATTATGCTAGCTTTGAGTAGCCCACTCAACCATTCACAGAGAAGTTGATGTGATGTAGCTTTAGAAGGCATGGAGACTTGCACCCATATGGTGCATCAGACACAGCATGCACCGTGTCAGTCAAGGTGAGTTTTCACTCACCTAGACTGACACAAAGCATGGAGAATAGGCAGTATAGTACTGGTTTGCAGTAAAAACTAACTTTTGAGGCCAATATCTCGCGAGGGGTCACGTGTATAGGTATGGTTCCATTCACTTGTTTACTCGTAGAGAGAGGTATGTAACTCTGGAGAGGTGGAAAACCCCTCATTCAGAGTTTACATCTTACCTTTATTTATAATCATAATTCATAAATAAATACATCATTTACTATGTTATCGAGGAATTAATCCGCCGTCGGTCACGTTGCCATTAATCATGCAACGACACGTATTTACTTAATTGGCGAGGATAACATTTCCTATCCACTAATAATTAATGTAATGAACGTAAACAAACCTTTTACTACGTTTTCGACTGAAGGAGCCTCCACCATTTCGCTTTTACGTCGAGGAAAAAAATAATACAAACAAACTACGGCAAAATACAAACACTCCTACCAATCCTATGACCCCCTAGCCGCAATTACACTTAAAAATAAAAAATTTTTCTTAATATTATATAATAATTTCTTTGGAAATAATTTTTTATTTTAAATTACTAAATCAAATTTAAAAATAAATACCTTATCTGTAAAAGTTTTAAATTAATTAATTTAATATTTTTATTAGAATTTTTGATTAATCTGAATAGGAATCGTCAATTTAATAATGACAATATGATTATGGGAGGAAGACGTTAGTATAAAGTTCAAATAGCGATAAAAATCTGCTATATTAATTTGGCAACATTTATTTTTTTGAATTTTTAACTCTTTCCTCCCTGTGGGCACATTAGAAGCCATCATGGGTTCGGCCAGTCCACAATGGGGCGGCCGGCTGGTGAGGGACGGCCCGAAATATCTGGAACGGATCACCCCGAAAAATTTCTAGGGAATCCTAGATCGACTTCTCCAGATTCGATCCCGTATTGCCCAGAACGGTAGGCTGCCATTTTAACCACTCCGTCCCTCCCTGTGGGCACTAAGAGAGTTTTATTTCAAGACCCTCGTGGATTCGGTCAGGACCACAATGGGGCGGCTTATTGATAAAGGACGGAGCCCGACATATTGTGTCGGGCTCCGTCCTTCATCGTGAAAAAGTTTCAAGATTTTCGGATCGTCCAGATTCGATTCCGGGTCTCCCAGAGCGGCAGACGCCTTTTAACTTTCGAATAAAACGAAAATGACAAGGTTACATACAATGTAATGTTTTGTGAAACGAAATGAAATATTATTTACATTTTTATTAGGGTTTCTTTCACGGGATCCCGGGATCCCGTTTTCCCGGGATTCCCGNGAGAAGGTTTTTAAAATAAATCTACTCGCAAAATGTACGTCACAAACGTAACATTTATTTGTTAGCATCTTGTCGTCTCGTGGAATGCATCGCATCCACTCCTCAATCTTATCGCTAGGAGCACGGAAGAAATGTCTCTTCTCGTTCGATGACTTATATCCTGCCTTGCATCCTGGCACAAAGCACGTTGGCATTTTTATGGAGCTAAAAAAACAATTATTATAGGTCAAAATCACTGACTTCAGTATATACCTAGCAAGAACAACGATCTCCTGCTAACAGTGGCGCCGACTAGCGGCAAATATTGTCTTTAGCTAAGTTTGAACTATTAGTCGAAAGACCAGTTAATCTACCGACTCTGGTAAGGGTGATTTCGGCCATTCTAGACCCCACCCACCCGTGTAAGAAACCGTAATACTTTCTTTGATCCCCCTCCCCTTCCTTATCTTACGTAATATTTAAGCATGATTTAGACCTCTAGCTGGGGTCATGTAACTAGTAAAAATTCAGTAGCAAGTAAATTATTCTCTCTTCAAAGACAGTTTGCCTTCAGAATTTCGAAGTGCTGCAGAACTATTTCTACTGATGCCTCTCTGATACCAGCAGAGCTCCTTCCTTTGCCACTGTGTATTATAGAAAAGTTTCTAAACTACCACATCAGAATTACAAACATCAAGGCTCAACGACAGTCTCTACTCCTATCTATGGCTGTTCATATGCTACCATTTGCAATTACCCTATCTCTGATCATCACCCCGTAAACAAGGTTATCCTCAGGGTACATTTGGTGTCATCTGCTTCCTGCATGGATAACCATGCAGACATTAACATCTACACAAATGAGTCCAAAAGACCCCTTCGTGTCGGATCAAGTATCTGTATCTTCCTCCAAACTGACATATTTTGCCCGAAATATGTTAGAAGATACAGATACCCCCCACATACTTCCATCTATCAAGCTGAAGAAGATACTGTCTACCAAGCTGTTCAGTGGGCCACTTCACTACCAAACAAAACTCTGTCTATCAACATTTACAGTGATTCTCAATCTGTCCTAAAAGCTTTATTAAATTCCATTTGCAATACCAATAAAATCACATATATCCAGCACAATATTAAAATCTTGTAAATAAGATAACTTTTATATTTGTTCCTGGTCATACTGGCATACTAGGAAATGAAAAAGCCAACTTCGGGGCTAAGTCAGCTGACTCGGACTACACTCGCATCCCTCTTTCACGTAGCAGCCTTAAAAATTACATTCATGACAACGCTATGAAAGTGGAATAAACAATGGTTGAGCAGTAAAACTGGTAGAATAACAAGACCTTATTTTCCTAGTGTTGAATGCAGGTTCTCATCACCATTTAGAGATTTAACTCAACGAGATCAAAAAATAAAAATAAGAATATTACGTAAGACGAGAGCTATTATCACCCTAACCCTGAGTAAGAAATCCTTGANTAGATTAAATTATTTTTTATTAATAAAACTCTGTGAATTTGTAATTATTACTTTATATTGTATTCAGTCCAGGACTCATTGTAATAGTTAATAAATAGTCAGTCATCTTACTAGAATACATGTTTTGTGTATATATTTTTGTACAGAATGATTTAATTGGGATTGAACAATTACTTTGTTCAGAACCTTATGATTGCACATTCACATTTGGATAACTTTTAATGTAAAACATACCTTCATCATGAAATAAAAAAAATTGTTCCATTTATGTTTCATGCTTATGTTTTCATTTTATACGAAGATATTCCACATAAGTGAATCAGCTTGTATGTTGTTGTTATTGCCATAGATAACATCTTTAGCAGTGAAGTTAAAATTTTTCCATGGTATCAATGGAAATGAGAGCCAGGATCTCATGTTTAAATATCTTGTAATAATTTGATTTTCTGTTTGATATATTTTAAGTTAAATAAGAAAAAAATACCAGGAAAAGAAGTTTGAGGATTTGATATTTAAAACATGATTGCTGCTCTTATTGACTTAGAGAATTAGAAATTTTTAATTATAGAACATACACATTAGCATTTTTACATATATTAATCTTGCACACTAATTCTGTTTTAAACACAACTGAGATTTTGCTTCTAAACAGTTTCAAATATTGCATCTTACAGATATCATTTTCATTTTTTCAATTTATCATTAACCTTGAGAATGAGATAAAAGAGAAATTAATAACTTTTATGCAAAAATTGAATAAGAAAAATTCAAATCTAGATTGAATTAAAATTTTAAAATTTGGTTAATTATTTTGTCTGCTTTTTAAGGCATTTTTAAAAACATATTTTCTTACTTTTCTAACTGTTAATATTAAAAATGGAGTATAGATGTTTGTACAATATAATTATTAATAATAATTTAAATTAATAATAATAATAAAATAAATAATAATAATTAATTAATTCATTACAATTTTTTACGTTTGTTGTACATAAAATTTGTCATTAAAAATTAGATCATAAACAAGGCAGTAACTTTACACCCTGAGGCCCCAGAGGTGCACTTTGTAGAAGAAAAAAATATATTATTCTATGTTATAAAGTCAGGAAATAAAACCGATCATTTTAATTCTTTTCATAATGCTTTTCTTGAAAATGAAACATTTAAATATTATTTTAAGAAAACTTTTCTAAAACTGCAAAACAAATTTCATTCTTCTAAATTTACAATTAAAAAAAAAAAAAGTATTTTATTTTAAATTATTTTTAATTTTAATTATTACCGACTGCAACATTTATAATATATAGTTTATTGTAATATTATAAACGTTCAGAATGCAATAATTTCGAGAACCACCACTGTTTTTTGAAAACAAAGGTATAAATTTATGATAATGCTAAAACTCTGGAGAAGTATTATTGTCTATAATAATTGTAGAAAACAGCAGACTATCTTTTGACATAAAAATGGCATGCCACTGTTAAAATGTGTTCTCCACCTCAACCATAGCTAAAAATGATGGTTGTCTTCTATATCAACCTTTGAAGTTTTTTAATCTTTTAAGAAGTTTTTTTTAAAAAATTGATTTAAAAAATATATATATATATATTCAATTTCCAACACAGAAATTTCATCTTTAATATAAATTACCTATTTTACATTTAAAAACTCACTTATTTCTTTCCATATTCTCATTTACAATTTATCTTCTTAATATAAATATACAATTTCAAATATCAACATTTTGAATTGCTTCATTTAATTTAGCACAGAATTCATCATCCTCTTCAAATATTTCACCATCAATTTCATATTGGATATTTAAATTTGTTTGTGAGTCATCACTGTATCTTGCATCATCAATAAACAAAGCTAAGTTTTCTATAATTAAAGTATCATTTATATTTATGTCTGTATCACCAGATACATCACGTAGACAAACAGAGATTCTGCCTTTTATCTGTGTATTTGTTATCAAAGCTGTTAAACTTTTATTAATACACAACTCTTGTAGTCTATGCTTAACCTTTTTGCACCATTGTATTCCATTAAAAGGTTTCAAATTAGATAATCTTGCTTTAATAGCTTGAATAGGAAGACTTAAAAAATCTCTTTGAAGAAATCTCAGAAAGTGTTTCCAAACGTTACATCTCGTTCCATAATCAACATAGAATACTTCAACATAATTAGCATCAGAAACTTCAGATATAATAGCACGATGCCAGTTATTATTGTGAGGCCATATTGCAGCACATATATTATTTACAGCACAAAATTTTTCGGGCATCTTGTATTTCTGACTTTCCCTACTATTGTACAGTTTCTGAAGATCTCTCATAAGAATTTCTAAGGCATCTGTAGTTTCTTTTCCCTTTATCTGAATCCAAATTTGATCAGGACTGTCTACATCTGATACATATACTGGTATAAACTGTTCCAAAATCTCCGGAAGTGGCTGATTCTTATAAACTTCACCTGGAAGTACCACATCTACACCATATTCATTTGGTAACTGAGAAGGATTAGATGTTTCTGTAAAATCAGTTTTTGAGTTCAGAGAGAGAAATATAGTGCCTTTTTCATGTGAAAGTGTAATTGGAATATTAGCAATCAGATCTTCTATGAATGATTCTATGTTGTCATAGCCTAAATAAGACCAAGGAAGTTCAAGTTGAAATTCCATTTTGTATACTTTCTCTAAATCTTCTATAGAAATTTTCTCTAAGGAATTCAATATCTTTATCACATTTAATTTTATTGAATTATCAATAGATGAACTTGTTGTATACAAATAAGAAGCAGTCATGTTTGATTTATCTTGTTGAACTTTATCTGAAGCATACAATAATAAATCATTTTTATAAGAACGAATTATTTTAAAAATTTCAGGTAACGAAGAAGCAACTTCCACCATAGTCTCAACTTCCATCATAGTCTCATCATGATCAAAACCATAGTCAGATAATAATAAAGGTTTTCTAAAAATTTTAAAATACTCTTTTTTGAAACTGGACGGACATATTCCATCAGGATGAAATGCTAAAACTTGTCGAAAATTCTCTTTGATTTCATCGTCTAGTACCATTTTCTTTTTAGGAGGGAACGAATAATCTGGAGATACATTGTTAACAATTTCCTTGTTTAATTTTGAAAACTTTTCTTGACTAACAACTCCTTTTCTAAATGAATCATTTTTAGCATCATCGTCAACTGATTCTATTTTAAGTTCTTTCATATTGCCACATGCCAATTCAAACACGTCATCCGATTTCGATGGCACACTTCTCGAAACAGTATCGGAAGTACTTCTAGCACTAAGTCGCACGACAGAATAACCATTATCGATTTCTAATTTCGCAATCTGTGGAATGCAAGCCAAAAAATCTTGTAATGTATAAAATCCTAAGTATTCAAGTGGTAATTCTTTCATAAAATATTTTTCAAAAGTTTCTAGAAAATCTTCCAAACGTATTCCATCTTTATAAACAGTTAATAACTTTCGAACTTGATATCTAACTTCAATAGGAATCAAATTGCGAAGTTCATTCCGCAAACGTTGTTTCATTCCACAGCACTTTTGATTTTTATCAGTGGCAGATGTTTTATCAGTGATTTTTTATTTCTGTTTAAGGCATTAAAAAAAACCTCCACGTTGTTTATATTTTGAAAACACTCTCGCGTGATTAACCTCGTCAGAAGGAATTTCTTTGTGAACGAGGTTAATGTAGATATTCGTCAATGTTAATTATAATTTTAAAAATATTTAAACGATTATTTTATGTATATTATTTACATTAAAACTATTTTTAAAACTTTTATTATTTGAATAAAATATCCTGTATTCGGAAATTGACAACGGGATGGCCGAGTGGTTAGGGGTTTATTTTTTTTAACTCTTTCCGCTCTCAGGACCGAGCATGCTATGATGCAGAGAGGCGGCTGCACCGTAAGCAGGCGGCATAAGTAGCATTTAAGGGGCGCCATTTCGAAGACTTGCATCATGCCAACCAGTCGCCGAGCGGTCTTCGTCCCCGCATTTGAGCGGACTAGATCTGAACACTGGGAGTTCGGTCGTGGATTCGCGCTTAGCTCGGATCCAAGCATGGAGTTTTCTGGGTTTTCTCCATGTCGACGACGTCTGAATAGGGGCCAGTTTCCCATAAAAAAAAAGTCCTCCCAGAAGGCTCGCGATTAGGCCATTCTATACGACCGGCTCTTCGGTCGCATAGCGATCACCTCTAGTCTCTCGGAGTAAAGGTGTATAGCCATAAGACTCCATATGAACCACCATGTATCGACAAAGACTTGTCTCATAATGAGAAAATCTACCGCTCGGCCCTGTCCACCCTGTAAGCACTAAGATGGCCTTATTTAGCAAGCCCATTATGGTTCTGCCAGGTCCACGATGGGGCGGCCGGATTGTGAGGGACGGGAGTCGACATATCCACGAACACGGAGAAATAATTTTCTCCGTGTTTTTAACGTAGGTAGCGTTGGGGAAGATGGAGTAATTCCCCTTCTAAAATATTTTAGAGATGGTCGGCCAAGCTTAGACTAGGTCGGTCGAAGAGCCGACGCAATGAAGACATCAGCCTGCCATCCTGGAAGATCAAATTCGAGTTATATTTGAAATTTTTATAGATATGCTGGACCCGTTTGTCTTCCAGTCGCATCATTACGAGCTTAGTGAAATCCACGATGGGCCCGATAAAGATTCTCCAGTGTTCACAAGGCGGAAAGAGACAAAAATAAAAAAATGAACTACACCATGGTCGGGTTCGAACACTATCTTTAGTCTTATAATTCATTATAACACGATTGAATATGCCATTCTTTCAACCATATTAACAATCGTTTCTACAGAGAAGTCAGTCACGCAATAAGACTTCGTAATGAGGAATATACTAGTATGAGGATTCGGGGGCATAGAGCAACTTTAATTTGAGCTCTATGTCACTTAATCGACACGCAATCATTGAGATTGGCTCGCTACGTCAAAGGATGTCTTCCTTAGACTTTAAAAAAATAACAGACGTTCGTAATGTGGGGGCCGAGGGGGGCTATAAAAAAAAGAAACTCAATGAACAATAATAGGCGATATATATCGTCATCGTCTCCCTTGCCGTTTGGACTGCCGAGCGGTAACAATCAACGACATGTGGAAGCAGTTGAGTCAAAGATAGATGCTTCTAAAAAATCAATTTTTTAAAAATATTTCCTCAAAATTGATGAAAAAACTTTATGGGTTAATTGTACAAAAATAACCCCCGTTTTTTTGCCTGGACCGCATAGATGCTTCGTTTACAAACAACACAACCGTTTATTAAACACGAAAGAAGCTCACAAGATTTCCGCGATCTTGGAAGTTCTGCGGCGGCTGCGGCCTCTGGGTCTTCCTCTCCTTTCCAAGATATCCCATTTTGAAGGAGTGTCCCTTGTTCGCGAATGAACCATTCCATCACGTCTCGACGACTCCGGGACGATGCGGTCGACTTCCGTTGATGGAAAGACGTCGATCCGAGGTCGGGAGATGGAGACGAAGATGGGTGCGAGACACACACACAACAACAGATCCGTCACTTGGAACTTTCGGGAGAAGAAGCCGTCGCGTCCTCGAATTTCCGGGGTTTTATTCGTTTTCTCTCAGATTCCCCTTTCCGATTGGTCTTTCGTCGTCACCTGATGACAATTCGAAACCTTTCGGGGGCGCGGGAGAGGTCAAAATCGAAGTTTAATTCGATCTCCAACCGGAAATGGTCGACGGACTTACATTCTTCTATTGTTTAAAAGTTAGCGTCGCGTTTCATAAAATAAAAATATATTTCTAACTACTATATTTTTTTCTCTAAAACAATTATTTTAACGCGAATTTTAGTGAGGGTTCGGACCTGTCCAGAGCCTCACAGTAAGAAACCCCTGGAAGTTGTTTTTCCTGACACCAGCCTAGATATAGCGTTAGGCACGCTTATATGTCTATTTTTAGAGGAATTTCGAGTGGGAGGATCGCGAGTAAATGGAGTGGATGTAGACTCAGACTTGTGTCATTAATGAGACCATATTATAAAAAAAACAATGAATTTAATAAAACTATGGAACAAGATACAACAATAATACAATATGCTAAGGAATTAAAATACTTCTGATCTAATCTATGCGCGCGAGAGAGAGTTTACATAAATCTATCATTTATACTACCTTCACATAGGCGGTTTATTCTTGTCTTCGGTTGACGTATGATTCTTTATGTGGGAGGAGATTGAGATGAAAGTGTGAATCTTGAGCGTAACTTCTACGTGCGCATTATAAAATATTGCCAACTTCTTGCGCAGACTTTCATATGGCAATCTTCCTTCGAAGAAATACCTCGAATGGCGGGAAAATGACCCTTTTTTATAGGGACTTCTATCCGGCTCTCTTGGGCGGCCCAGTAGCTTGCGCAAAGGCTGCATCTGATTCATCTCACAAGTCGGCCGTCTAAAAGGAAGTTCAACTTCCCTTCTCTCGAGAATGACAAACGTTACATCCTTTTTGTTTAATATTTTATCAACGAAAATAAAATATTTTATAAAAATTAACCTCCTCAATCCGCGGATCTCACACTAGTGCTTAGCATTAATAAATCTGATTAAAACAAATTATATGAAAAGTTTCGGTTTTTAAATATATATATTATACTAATAATAGAAATAATTTTCTTCTAATTATAATGAAGTTATTATTAAGAATTACTGCGTTAAAATTTATTATTTACAGTTTTACTTTTTAAAATATTTGTAAAACTGGCAACTTAGTTTAGATTCAATGAACTAAAATGGCGTCGGCGTGTAGGGGATCGCAGTTACTAGCAAGTCGATTAAATGTCACGTAAGTTAATAATAATAATAATAAGTTATATACATATAATATAGCTCGTCAGACTTATGTTCACAATAAATGACATAAAACTATTGTTTCTACAAAATTTGTAGAAAAGTATTTAAAAAATAAAATTTCTCTAGCTCATTGCCTCATATTTTGATAAGATTTCTCTTATGACTTATATAAAATTAGAGTCGAGTTATAAACTCCTTAACGTAACCGTATCCGTATTCGTAAATGTTTGTTACACTGGATATCTATAGCAATAGTTATAAACTACCGTAAGGCCTTTTCAGTATCTGTAAAGGAACAAACTTTTTTACGATTTACAAAGCAGTTCATCGTGAGCATTCGCAAAATCATCGGCTGATGTTGCCAGATTTAATACTATAATTATTTATTTATTTTATCATTTTTCTATTTTTTTATGACTCTTATCTTAAAATTTTATATTATTCAGAAGCAGCATTGTCGGTCAAAAATTACATTTCAACCAATTTGTCAAAGTTTCATTGGTTGCTTCTGGCACAACTGATTGTATGTTGACTAATGTGACTTAGCATATGTGCAGTTGGTCAATTCTCCGTATCCCTACCGTAAAAGTTTGATCAATCCAAACTTTTCTTATGGAATACGGTACGGCCATACGGATATGATATGTAGTTTATAACCATGCTATATGGATACGCTTACAGCTACGGATGCGGTATGGATACAGTTACGTTACGGAGTTATAACTTGACCCTTACTCGATTACGTTGTATGTAGATTTATTTACTAATTTGCTGACAAAAATGTAAATAATCTGCACATAATNCAAGTCGATTAAATGTCACGTAAGTTAATAATAATAATAATAATAATAAATTATATACATATAATATAGCTCGTCAGACTTATGTTCACAATAAATGACATAAAACTATTGTTTCTACAAAATTTGTAAAGTATTTAAAAAATAAAATTTCTCTAGCTCATTGCCTCATATTTTGATAAGATTTCTCTTATGACTTATATAAAATTAGAGTCGAGTTATAAACTCCGTAACGTAACCGTAACCGTATTCGTAAATGTTTGCTAGGTAAGGCCTTTTCAGTATCTGTAAAGGAATAAACAAACTTTTTTACGGTTTACAAAGCAGTTCATCGTGAGCATTCGCAAAATCATTGGCTGATGTTGCCAGATTTAATACTATAATTATTTATTCATTTTATCATTTTTCTATTTTTTTATGACTCTTATCTTAAAATTTTATATTATTCAGAAGCAGCATTGTCGGTAAAAAATTACATTTTAACCAATTTGTCAAAGTTTCATTGGTTGCTTCTGGCACAACTTCTGATTGTATATTGACTAATGCGACAGTTAGAGTAAAGGAAAAGGTATCCAGCTAAAAAAAGTGAGGAAAGAATGCGTATAAAGTGCAATTAAAGCTGGAGACCTTTTGCATAACAGTGGATATTTTGGGATAAAGAACTAAAGACATTAATGTTGTTTCAAAGTAACATGGGGAAAACTAAATTTGTTATTAAATTTTTACTTTTATTTTAAAAAATATATAATAATTATATTATCGTGTCAACTATTTCTGTTACCGCTCACGTGTGTGTAGGGAATTGTGGAAGTGACGTCACGCTCGACAGTTCCCCACCAGTCAGGGAAAATTTCCCTGCGTCAGTTGTCCCTACACTCTTGTCGTGTGTACGCGTGTTCGCTGGCTAACGACACCATTTTAGCATTTTTAATGTCGCTTTCTCTCGTAGATGGAATGTATTATGGTGAATTAAAGTAACTCGTTTTGTTAATATCGATGAGTGCCTGCGTATTTCTTAATAAAGTTGTTCTTAAACGAAGCAAATAGCCGGAAATAAAAAATCGTTCGTAACTTTTAAACGGTTGATCGTAAGTAATTTTTTTTAATACCAATCGATTCAGCGTGTCAAATTACATCTAGATATGTCTATGTCTATTCGTTAATATTAANACTGGCAACTTAGTTTAGATTCAATGAACTAAAATGGCGTCGGCGTGTAGGGGATCGCAGTTACTAGCAAGTCGATTAAATGTCACGTAAGTTAATAATAATAATAATAAGTTATATACATATAATATAGCTCGTCAGACTTATGTTCACAATAAATGACATAAAACTATTGTTTCTACAAAATTTGTAGAAAAGTATTTAAAAAATAAAATTTCTCTAGCTCATTGCCTCATATTTTGATAAGATTTCTCTTATGACTTATATAAAATTAGAGTCGAGTTATAAACTCCTTAACGTAACCGTATCCGTATTCGTAAATGTTTGTTACACTGGATATCTATAGCAATAGTTATAAACTACCGTAAGGCCTTTTCAGTATCTGTAAAGGAACAAACTTTTTTACGATTTACAAAGCAGTTCATCGTGAGCATTCGCAAAATCATCGGCTGATGTTGCCAGATTTAATACTATAATTATTTATTTATTTTATCATTTTTCTGTTTTTTTATGACTCTTATCTTAAAATTTTATATTATTCAGAAGCAGCATTGTCGGTCAAAAATTACATTTCAACCAATTTGTCAAAGTTTCATTGGTTGCTTCTGGCACAACTGATTGTATGTTGACTAATGTGACTTAGCATATGTGCAGTTGGTCAATTCTCCGTATCCCTACCGTAAAAGTTTGATCAATCCAAACTTTTCTTATGGAATACGGTACGGCCATACGGATATGATATGTAGTTTATAACCATGCTATATGGATACGCTTACAGCTACGGATGCGGTATGGATACAGTTACGTTACGGAGTTATAACTTGACCCTTACTCGATTACGTTGTATGTAGATTTATTTACTAATTTGCTGACAAAAATGTAAATAATCTGCACATAATGCATATAAATCATAACAAACACCAAAACATATAAATCTACATAATAAATGTGTGTTAAAAGGATAACTTAAGAATTCAGTTACCCAAAACTAAAAACACTATATATCAATCTTCTTTAAAATAAAAACTATTTTTAAATGTAAACTGTATTTTTTAAATTTTTTACAATATCAAGGGCACAATATCAAATTTTTCCCAGCAATGTCAAGTATCTTTGCTAGTTATGAATATTATCATCAGTTATTTAATGTTCTCAGAATTAATATATTACAAAACATAAGAGTTAATTATGCATTTATAAAACTTTGCTTATTGTAATCAAGGTTTTGGTTAATCATTATCTTAATATTTAATATTTAACTTTCAAATAACTACAGAGTGTTTCAGGATGAAAACATGCCTTACTTTTTTAATATGAAAAAATACACTAAACAAACATGAGAACAAAACTAACTACAATTTACCATCCAAAGAAAATTTGAACACTTGTATTCCATATCAAGCAGGTGACAGAATCCACCCTTCAGTGCAGTGTCTTGTCAAAAAAGTCCTTTATTTTTAGTTTTCTTTATGTGAAAGAAATGGAGAGATCAGATTAGGGAGGAAACTGAAAGAGTAGGAGAAAGCTGAAAAGATATTGAAGGGCATGAAGTATGGAGTAATATAAATACAGTGGAACCTCGCTTAATGAGCATAATTTGTTCCAGAATTGTACTCATAATGTGAAACACTTGTTAAGTGAAACAATTTTTCCCATATAAATTAATGTAAAATACGACAATGCATTCCATGCTGAAAAAAATACTGAAATATTTTATGTATGACGTTTATTCAAAGAAAATTGTACAATGTGCATTGTTAATGAATCATTATCATCTTTTCTTCTAGNTGAAGGACATGAAGTATGGAGTAATAGAAATACAGTGGAACCTCGCTTAATGAGCATAATTTGTTCCAGAATTGTACTCGTAATGTGAAACACTTGTTAAGTGAAACAATTTTTCCTATATAAATTAATGTAAAATACGACAATGCATTCCATGCCGAAAAAAATACTGAAATATTTTATGTATGACGTTTATTCAAAGAAAATTGTACAATGTGCATTGTTAATGAATCATTATCATCTTTTCTTCTAGCGTGGAATGAACCAACTGGAATGAGAATTCAATTTGCAGAAAACAAAAAAAAATCACAAATAATATGTTTGATAAACACTGCAAACAATATGCCAAATTCTTGGGCTGTGTAAAGGCTATAATTAAATAATAGAAATTAATTAATTTGACTAGAGCAGTGGTTCTTAACCTTTTAGTGATGAGGGACCATTTATCAAAATTTTTGTATTGCCATGGACCACGAGCTGTTTGGCAGTAATATAGGTTCTTATAAGGTTGTTCTATAAATTAAACACGTAGAAAATTATTCGGAACCAAGAGTATTATATTATTTGCGAAAGTGTTACATTAATTATATTATTTTAGTGCAATTTTTGTGACTGCATACTGTTTACCAACTGCTGAATTCTTGGTTCAGTGCTACTCAAAGCAAA